CCTCGGATCCACCAGATCACACTAGATCACCCGAGAGATCACCCGAGATCACCCGAGAGATCACCCGAGATCGCCCGAGATCGCCCGAGATCGCCCGAGATCACCCGAGATCACCCGGCAGGACCCGTGGTACGCTATCCTCGCCGAGTGGGACGAGATGGAGTTCGACGACGACGAGGAGGAGGAGGGCGGAGACGGCTGCGCGAGGCGTGCCGCTGTGTGACGCGACACTCCACGCCTCTAGCTGTGAGCAGGCGGAGACGGCCGTGGGCGAGGCGGAGGTACAGGTGCTCGTGCGGCGGGGCGGCGACGAGTCCTTCTCGATGGTCAGCTGGCTCATGTCGCAGCACGACGAGCGATGGCTGATCGACTCGCTCAACATTGTCTGAGCCTCCCGCTCCGAAGTAGACCTCCTCTGACAACGCAGGAACCCGCTGCGAGAAGCATCATCATGCCACACGTGAGACCCCCGCTTGCTTATCCTACTCAGCACAGGACCGCGCGGCGGGAAGGCGTGCGAGACGACGCCTCTCCACCTCGCGGCCTCGTTGGCAAATCAGAGAGTTTACCTTACCTTACCTTACCTTAGAGCCGGGACAAAAACTGTATATCTAAAAAGTGGAACCAGTCGAGGAGGGGGGGGGGGGGCGTCCGAGCGACACAAGGGTAGCATTGAGCTTTGAGCGGGGGACGGAAGGCGGCCAATTCGAGCGGCCTTGCGGCGACGCGTCCGGGGGCTGCTCCGGCCGGGCGGGCGGGCGCCTGAGGCTTGAGGGGCATGGGCGACTTCGTGGGAGTAGAGAGCAGGGCTGCGGGCTCACGTGGCGCACGCGTCGCCGCAGCACGCGCCGAGCGGGCGGCGGAGAGGCAGAAGGCGGAGCGCCGCGCCAAGGCATCTCCTGCCACCGCGCCGCGGTTTCAACGCGGGGGGTGGAGGGCGGGGTCCCGGAGGAAGGAGACTAAACAAAGATGGTGCGGCGCCGCAGGACTCCCTCGTAGCCCGATCCCGATCACCCGGCCCGCTGCGCGCTGGTTAGCAAGCGCTTTCATTGCCCCCAGCTTCGGCTGAGGGGGGTGAGGGTGAGGCTGAGGGCCACAAGCTGCCGAGCCGCGGAGCCCAAATCATTGTGAGAGTCGTGATTTCTTGTTGGTTTTCGAAAATCTCTCTCTCAGTACACAGTACTACTCTCAGTACTAAGGTAAGGTAAGGTAAGGTAAACGTCTCCACACACACAAAGTGGTGGGGCAAGGGGGGGCGACCCTCGCATCTCCACGCCCGGGACACGGGCAGGAGCCCCACGGCATTCAAAGTGCAAGCACCGGCCCGGTGCCGTGGGTGAGCAACCTGCACCCCACTCCTACTCCTATAACACAACCCCCACAGCGTGGTCGTCTACGTGTTCAGAAACACCAAGCAGCGAGGCGAGGGTGAAGGGGTAAGGGGCTGTGTGGGGCTATCTGTGACCATCTAGCCTGGGGGGTAGCAGGAGGGGGGGGCAGAGGGTAAGATATGGGTGAGGCCAGCTACAAGTCGGACGCCCTCCCGTCGTCGGAATAATCCTCGGAGCGGTCAGCGTCCTCGTCGTCGTCCTCGGTCTGCATCGCGTCGCCAGCCGTGAACCTGAACACGGCGTCGGCCGGCGCCGAGGCGCCGGCGGCCGTCATCAGGTGCATGACTATGCGGTCGCGGTATGCCGCATCGATCTCTCCGTGCTCGGCCAGCTCTTTCGCGAGCCAGTCCGAGGCGACGGTCGTCGCCACGGTCCCCTGGGGAACTGTGGCGTACACCTTGCTGGGGCCGCGTCGATACCCGTCGTCCCTCTCCGGGGGCAGCGAGTATTCGACCCCCATTTTGGACCCGGCCTGGCTGCGCGCCTGCGCAGCTGCAGACCGCAGCCCGGCCATCACGTACTGGATGCTCTCGCGCAGCTGCGCCCGCGGGGCCTCCGCGCGCTCGGCCTCGCTCGCGGCGCGCTCGCCAGCCTCCGTCGCCCGGCGCGCCTTCTGCCGGTCCTTCTTGGCCTTGCGTGCCGCGGCTCGAGCCGCGAGCTGCTCCTTGGTGGGCTCCTTCTTCTTCGGCGCGGTGCGCTCGATGTACGAGCGCTCCGCCGCCTGCACCGACTCGCGGTCGCCCGCGGCCTTCTCGTGCTTCAGCTCGACCTCGATGGTCGCGTAGCCAGGCCTTATCACCCTGACACAAGACGCACCGAACAGCCTTGCGACACTCACCGCGTCCTCCAGTTGCGCGCGATCGGAGCTATTCCAGCGTCCGCTGCGCATCCCCGGCGGCACGACGGTGGCCGGCGCTTGCGCGCCAGCCCCGTCCGCCGCCGGGTCCGCGGCCGCGGTCCCTGTCATAGCTACGCGCGCCATGGAGAACGGCGGGCACTTACAACAAAGTCTAGCAGCAACCCTTTAGCCTTTTCTTCTTTGCACTTTGGCAAAGTACTTTGGCTTCAACCGACTACACACCCAAACATGGGCCTGCGAGCGTCGTGCGGGACCCCCACACACACCCCAAAACACACACACACAGGTCACACATCTTCGAAATTAGCGCTCACAAAGGGTGGAGGTCACAGCAGTCCTTGAGCCCGTTGTCCCACTCGGAGCTGACGATCCAGTCGCCGAGGTAACCGTACAGGTTGACCTCCTCCGGCTGCGAGAAGGCGACGGCCGGCGTTAGCAAGAGGGAGGGGTGGGGAGGGGCGTAGCCCGCCCCCCGAGGGCAGGGGGGTGGGGTGGGGGGGGCTCACAGTGTAGTAGATGGCCGGGCCATTCCCCGCAAACCCCGAGTAGGGGAAGGAGCCAGCCTTGCGCCACGTGGGCTTGGTGAGGTCGGCACCACCGCCTTTGCGCCTCGACTGTGGCATCGGAAAGACGTCGACTTTCGTGTGCTTCTTGAGCTCCCGTGCCCAGTTAGTCGGCAGAGTGTAGAGGATGACGGCAAAGTTCGCCACGCAGCGGCCGCCGTCGATTCCCCAGAAGGCGTTCTCCACCACCGGCACGTCCTAATCTCGGGCTCGTGTCGGGTGATCTCGGGTGATCTCGGGTGATCTCGGGATCTCCACCACGGGACGTCCTTCAAGTAGGCGACGAGCGCCTCCCCCTTCTCCTGCTTGCGTTGAAACTGCTCCATCAAGGACTGAAAGAGGTCGTCGCATTGGTCGTTCTGCGAGCGAGTGGGCGTGTGGCCAAGGGAGCGGCGGCGGAGGGCGGGCGAGGGTGGTCGCGCGCCTGGTTTGCAAAGATCTGATTGAGCATGCCCGGAGCGCCCAGTGGAGCGACGGCTCCGGACCTGTAGGGTCCCTGCCCAAAGTACTGGGCGACAAACTGGATGTAGGCGGAGTCGGGGTCAACCTTCCACGTGCAAGGCTCCCCCTCGGTCGCCACGAAGGGACCTTTGCCGCTCTTTCAGGCGTCGGGGAAGCTGATCACTGACACGATCTTCGTTGCGCCCTGCGACACTGCGCCGCAGACGGCGGGGGTATCGACAACGCCGCCGTCCGCGTAGTCGAGCGACTTCGTCCCGTCCTCCTCCGGCGTCGTGTACGTCGTGTACCTGTCAAGAATTTTACAACCAAAGCCTCTCGCACACGTCAAGAGCGTATCAAGAACGTGCCGGAATCATAGCGTTGGCATGTGGGCGGGGGGGGGGGGGGGGCCATTCCCCCTTGGGCAAACGTGTCAAAGCAAAACAAAGCCGGTATTGTGGGGATTGGAATGGGGGCAAAATCCCCCGACCCCCCCATGAGGGCCTCGATGGACAGCTTGGAGCCTGTCGTGGACGTGTCAGTGGACGTCAGTGGACGTGTCATGGACGTGTCATGGACGTGTCGTGGACGTGTCGTGGGCGTGTCGTGGACGTGTCGTGGACGTGTCACGACTCGGTGAACAGCTCGGGAGCCTGATGAGAGCGGCGCGCACGGAAGGCACGCGGGGGGGTGGACATATTCGACGTTGAGGACCTGTCCCGGTGGGAGAGCGGGATTAGCGTATTGATTGACGAACCCATCCGTTGCTCTCGACGTCGATGACCTGGCCCGGTGGGATAGAGGCGAAGCGAATGTCCTGCCGTCATCCGGCGGAGGCTCAGTCAACACCACAACACCAAAGCTTGCCGAAATAAGGGCGGGACGACGTGGGGGGGGGGGGGGGGGCTGTAGGGCGCCGGCACCCCAGCGTAGAGGGCGTCGTGTAGCCAGTTGTTGGTGTTAATTAAGGGCGGGGTGTTAGTGAGGGGGGCTCGCCTTTGGGTTCGCTGGGCGGGGCCACGGTTCGAACGGCCACTGGCAGCCGAACTGCATCGTGCACCCGTGGTAAGGTGTCCAGACGCTGTCCGGGGTGGCGAGCCAAGGCACGAGGCACTGGTGGCCTGCGTGGACGTGTCATGGACGTGTGATGGACGTGTCCTAGACATGCCGCACTGTGGCACGAGACGCGCTCGCCGGCGCTTTGGTCGCGGTGCTGCTTCGCAATCGACGCCGCCGTAGCGCCGTGCGTGGGCGGGCTGTCGCGCCTGTGAATGCATCACTCATGGATGGGCAGAACCGGCGACTCGTTGCTAAAGCGAGGCTCTCCCACGGTACTTGCAGAGCCACTCGTTCTTCGCCTCCGTGGACCACTTGTCGAATGGCGCCTAGTGTGAATGGCGCCTAGTGTGAATGGCGCCTAGTGTGAATGGCGCCTAGTGTGAATGGCGCCTAGTGTGAATGGCGCCTAGTGTGAATGGCGCCTAGTGTTCACGAGGCTTGTGAGGATCGGGTGTGAGGATCGGGAACAACAAGTAAAACCATCTGGCCGAGAAGCAGCCGAGATGCAGCCGAGGTGCGTCCGAGGTGCAGCCGAGATGCAGCCGAGGTGCGGCCGAGGTGGGGGCGTCGCCTCGAAGTTGCGGTACGAGACGCCGGTTGGGCGGGCCATCCCAAACGTAGCCAGCGGCGTGGGCGCAAGCCCGCGTGGGATGTTGAAGTCCTCCTGCCGGCAGTGGCGTGGAATATATAATGTAGCCGTGCCCAACATCTCCTACCCTGGATGCTAACAGTTCGGCTGCGCCTTGGTGACCACAACGCCGTCCGTGGCGAGCGCATCAATCTGTGCCTGCACGCCATCCACGCTCGCCTGGCGGCATGACGGGGGTCCTGCTGTGATGTGTGTGCGTGCACTAAAGCCCCGGGGCCACATTTGTATGCACCGTGTACTTGTTCTTGCCCAGCCCTGTTGGCGTGTCGTGCTTCGGCGCGCCAATCCGGCCAACAAAGTAATTGTAGAAGAAAGCCTGCGGGCCAGGCACGGCGAACCTTTGAGGATTTGTGTCGAGGGCAAGGCGCAAGGAGAGGGGAGTAGCGGCGCTCACGATGAACCAGCTCGATACGGTGTTCGCGAATGGCCAGCAGCCACCGCCGACGCATTTGCCGCAGGTTACAGCGCGGGCGCAAACGCCAACAGAGGCCGACACGAAAACGCCGACCAAGACGGGTATGGCGGAAAAGAAGACCGAGCAAAGGCCTGAGCCGAGGCCGAGTTGACTGGCCACGTACCCCATCTGGCCGCAGGACGGGGTCGGCGGGTTCTCAATCGCCGCCTTTGTGATCTTCGCCGGCTCGGTCTCTCGGCCCGTGTCGAGCACTTGGTGGCCAGGAAGCGCAGAGTAGGAGTAAGTGGCGACCGCCAGGAAGCCGCCGCTCGTGCCAGAGAGGTGCGAAAATGGCAGCTCCTTCTTGGTGTCAAGGACTTCGGCGTGAAACTGTTTGTAGAAGCCGCGGTACAGTCCGTAAGCCACAGGCACAGGCTGCGAGCCGCCGCCATTCACTGCCAGCGCAGCTGTGGCAGCTCGCTCCTGAGCGCCGGCTTTGATTGGCGCCTTCATGGCACGAACATGCTCCGACTTGTATCTCGCCTTCTTCTCGTCGAGGTACGATCTCGTCGGGTGCGGACACGCCGGCGGAGGCGGAATAGCCATGACCAGGAGGATGCCAGGTGTGAACACAAACTCCTCAGCATATGTTTCGTGAGTTTGTGGGGCCCGAGGGACGCTCTCCTCGAGGATTCCGGCTCGATGGCCTAGATGCGGAATAATATTAAATGAACTCGGGGGCACAGGACGCGGTACAAACGGGGTACACCAAAAGGCACAGGCTGCCTGCACGGCGTTCACTCGAACGCCATGCACATGGCGCGGAGCAGCATCGGGTTGGTGTCGAACCCGAGCGGGTCCTCCTCCCAGTCCCGGTGCCCACCCTCCGCGTCATCCTGCTCATCGTGCGCGTCGAGCACCCTGCCGAGGCACAGGACCGTCCCCTTGGGAACGCCTGCCCCTCGCGGGCGCGGGAACTCTCCCTGCACCGCCATCACGAACTTCTCGCGCGCCCACTTGCCGCCACGGCGGCAGTGCTGGGGCGCGCGCTCGCGCAGCTCCTCGTAGAGCTCCTCGGCCCTCGCCACCTCCGCCGCCCAGCCCTCCGCTGACGCCTGAGCCGCCTTCTTCTCCCTGAGCGTCTTGAACACCGGCGGCGGCGCCGGCGATGGCGCCACCTCCGGCTCGCCCGCCGCCTCTGCAGCGCGCCGCCCCTTCCTCGCCTTCTCCTTGAGCCGCTTCCTAGCGCTCTTGGTCAACGCCGGCGCCGCCGCCGCGGCCTCGCCGGCCGCCGCACCGGCGATGGATGTCGAGGATGATGAAGGTGATGAAGCCGTTGTCGCGTTGCAAGCGGGGCGGAGAGTGTCGAAAAAAGAAGTGACCCTGTCCGTTGTGCCAGCGCAGCCTGGCGCAGACGCCAGGCCGCGCAGGGGCGCGGCCAATGCCGCAGCCTCCCCGCTGCCCGTTTCGGGCTCCTCCTCCTTCGCCGCCTCAGCCACCTCTGCCGCCGCCTCCGCCGCCGCGCGAGCCGCCGCCGCGCGAGCCGCCGCGCGAGCCGCCGCCGCGCGAACCGAATCGCGAGCCAAGATCTTGAACTCCCTCTCGCGAGCCGCCGCGCAGACTTCCGCCCAGGAGCGCACGTCCCGGCAGCAGCGCACGTCCCGGACATCGCCACCATCCCGGCCGCGACGCGCCTCGATGTCCTCATACGCCCGCACTGTCGCCATCGCCGACGCCAGCAGCCGAATCGCTGCCCCATCGAGGAGGCAGGGTTCGTCGTATCCGGCGGGCCAGATTGTGGCGTATCCGCGGGCGCATATCACGCCGCAAGGCCCGACACTCAAAGGGTCAGGAGGCCGGTAGGCATGGATGAAGGCCGCTGATGAAGATGATGAAGCCGTTGTCGCGCTGCAGGCGGGGCGGAGAGTGTCGGAAAAAGAAGTGACCCTGTCCGTTGTGCCAGCGCAGCCTGGCGCAGACGCCAGGCCGCGCAGGGGCGCGGCCAATGCCGCAGCCTCCCCGCTGCCCGTTTCGGGCTCCTCCTCCTCCATCTCCGCCTCCGCCGCTGCCTCTGCTGCTGCACGGCCCTCAGCAGCTGCCTGGCGCCTGTACTCCTCGAACACGGCCACCTCTCGCCGCACCGGGCACACCTGCCGGTAGGCCGCCGCCGCCGCAGCCCACTCCTCCTCATCCTCCCTCGCAGCGTCGATCGTCCCATCGCCGCTCGTCGGCAGCGCGGGCACCAAGGGGTCCAAACTGGACACCTCGGTCCCACCTCCGATTCCACCCTCTGCGGCCTGCGCATCACAGGCGCCGCTGTCCGCCTCTTGGGGGCGCGCGCCGCCGCGGCCCTCGCCGCCGGCCGCCGCCCCGCCGCCGTGCTCCTCGCTAGCGGAGCGCGTCCCATCTCCGCCGCGGGGGCCGCTAAGCCCGGCTGCGGCAATCGCATGCAATGCGGCATGCACGGCACCCTCGGCAGCGCCTGTACCGACGCCGCCGCCCGCGCGCTCGCCCGCAGCACCATCGCCGCCGGCCACCGCGCTGCTGCCCGCCTCGAGCGGCGCCGCGACGCTGCCGACATCCTGGGCCAGCAGCTGCGGCACCACCTTATCTGAGATGGGCGCAGAAACTTGCGCCCGCTCTCGAGGAGGGCCGCGATATCCTCGTCGGGAGCGATGGTCGGCCGCGAGGCCGCCATCACGGTGGTGCCCGGCCGCGTGGGCCGGGCTGCGGTCCGGCGCTCGCTGGTGGCGGTGAGAGCGAGCAGAGAGCGGGCGCGCGAACGTTTCGCGCGCTTTGATGCGGAATAAGATCTGTTTTACTCGTAGTATTCCAGCACTCGCGAGGACACAAATTCGACGGCATCCGGCCTGTCCTTCCTTGAGCACTTGAGCACTGGATAGGGTCGATTCCGCATGGTACGGGACCCCTCGATCGTCTCGCCCTCCCTCACTGGTGTGTTCATCGGGGGGGGTCATAACAAACACGGTACAGGATCGAGGTGCACGCTGCCGAAGCAGTGTCGTCCCCCCTCTCCCCGACGGCGATGGCGGTGTGACCGACCGATCGAGCTACAAGAGGAGCTTGTTCAGCAGGATCAGGAGTGGCCAGATGCACTACCTCACTGGGCATGAGACCACCGCACGACGCATCCATCACCGTCTCGGATTTATGTGGAATATTAAATGAACTCGGGGGCACAGGACGCGGCACAAACGGGGTACACCAAAAGGCACGGGCTGCCTGCACGGCGTTCACTCGAACGCCATGCACATGGCGCGGAGCAGCATCGGGTTGGTGTCGAACCCGAGCGGGTCCTCCTCCCAGTCCCGGTGCCCACCCTCCGCGTCATCCTGCTCATCGTGCGCGTCGAGCACCCTGCCGAGGCACAGGATCGTCCCCTTGGGAACGCCTGCCCCTCGCGCGCGCGGGAACTCTCCCTGCACCGCCATCACGAGCTTCTCGCGCGCCCACTTGCCGCCACGGCGGCAGTGCTGGGGCGCACGCTCGCGCAGCTCCTCGTAGAGCTCCTCGGCCCTCGCCCGGCCTGTCCTTTGCTGTATTCGTAGCGATGCCTCCCAGCGTTACCAAGTTGCCGAGTTGCCGCCCCCCGGCCAAGTTGCCGCCAACGTGGACCAACTGAGCGGACGTGTATCGGGCTCTGCCTGTGGGGGGGCGCGGAAGACCTCTGAGCGCTGTGGGGGGGCGCGGAAGACCTCTGAGCGTCATCGAGCGGAGCTGCAAGCAGCGCCGGGCGACGACGGCTGACTGGACATCTCATATGTCGCCGCGTTCGCGCCACTTTCCCGCGGCAGCGCTGCTCTTCGCGGCGGGCGTCCGTGCGGCCACGCCATCACAGACCTACGCCAAGGGCTACACCCGCGCGACCTCCGATCTTCGCGCCTTCCTCCTCGAGGGCTACGACAAGGTTGTGCCTCCGACTTCCAACCGCACTGGCGACGCCTCTCAGGCGGGCACGGTGGTGTCTGTTCAGCTGAGGCTGTTCAAGGTTGAGTCGGTGAAGCAGACGGAGGGGCAGATGCGACTTAAGGTGTCGCACCTCGCGAGCGTCGTGTCTTGTAATGCGACTCACCTTGTGGTTGTGCTAGGTCTGGCTGCGCATGTCGTGGGTCGACGAGCGCCTCTCGTGGGACCCGGAGCAGCACGGCGGCATCACGCAGGTCCCCTTCATCGGCTCCGCCATCACCCTGCCCGAGGAAACCGAGATTTGGCTGCCCGACATCACTCTGTACAACTCCCACGTCGGTCAGACGCAGACGCTCGAGCCGGCGGGGGCGGCGATGGTCCAGAGCAACGGCGCCATCTTTTGGTCGCGACCGGGCATGCTCGACGTCCTCTGCCGCTTCTCTGGGCTGGTTGCGTTCCCCTTTGACCGACTCAGCTGCAAGATGGAGTTTGGAGGCTGGATGTTTTCGGGCGGCTATCAAGGCATCGAACTGATGGGCGATGGCTACGCCTTCTCGTTGCAGGAGGAGACGGCGGGGAGCTCATACCAAGAGTACTCGATCGGATCCGTGAGGTGCGACATCACCACCTTTGAGTACGCATGCTGCCCCAACGAGCCGTGGCCGACCCTCCGGTACACCATCGAGCTGACGCGCTCCAATCACTACTACGAGTTCTCGATGCTCATGCCGACCGTGCTGCTCTGCTGCGTCTCATTCATGGTCTTTGGCCTCAAGCACGAGGTGGGCGAGCGGCTCTCTTTTGGCATCACTCTCGTTCTCGCAATGGTCCTGATGCAGACCCTCGTGTCCGCCATGCTGCCCGTCTGCGGAGAGCTCCTCTGGGTCGAGCTCTTCTTCTTCTACAACCTCGTATTCTCCATCTTTGCGCTCCTCGAGACCTGCACCGTCCTCTACTTTGCCCATCTCACGCAGCCGCACGTCATTCCCACCTGGGTCGTCGCTGTCGTCGCCGCATGCCTCTCTGCGCCCGCCGGCTGGTGCACAAGTGCCGGTGGGCGCAACACGCCGAGCTCGCAGCCTGACCAGCCGCTTGGGCGCCAGACAGCATCAACCACCGATGAGGGCAGCCAATCCGACAGCACGACGGTTTCGGCCTTGCGGCGGCAGCAGACTCGCAGTTCGGTGATGCTGCGCGAGCCCCGCGCGGTCAGCGAGCGCGAGTCCGCTGCGGGCGCCTTCTACCGGCGCATGGTGGCGAGCCATCGGCGGAGGCAGCGATCCAGCGGGAGTGCGCCCGCGCCCACGGCGGAGGCCTCGCGGGAGCCAGACCTCGCCTTCGCCGCCCGCCGCTTCGTGGGCGGTCTGCCTCAGCCGCGCGAGCTCCTGGTAACGCGACCGCCGTCCGCAGAGGACGCGGCGCGGCTCGTCTACTTTGAGCGCCTCTTTTATCTACTCGACGTGCAGGCAAAGGGCGCCATCCGAGTGGACGAGATGGGCCACCTCCTCTCATTCCTCGCCTTTGAGGCAAGCGAGGAGGAGCGCATCAAGTCGCTGCTGCAGGCGGACGAGCAGGCCGACGGCACGCTAACACGCGGGGAATTTATGGAGCTCTGCGTCGAAATGCTTTGGGACAAGTCAGTCATGGTGCTCGAGGCGGCCGCTGCCAACTACGAGAGCTCGCGCGTGCAGCTCGAGCGCCGGAACCTGATCTATTGGCGCAAGGTGTCCGCCAAGATCGACCTGTGGGCACGGTTCTGCGTGCCAGTTCTCTACGTCGCTGGGCTCGTTTTCATCTTCAAGATGGACCTCTCTGACCCGTACGGAGAGCCAGACGCCGAGGGCGAGATCTACTCGGGCATGTTTCAGGGCATGTGGGAGGTTCGCATCACGACAGCGGGGCGCATCTGGCTCGCGCTGCTGCTGCTGCTGCTCTTCGGTCTCGGCGCCGCCTATCTCTGCTTCCGCAGGGTCGCCATCCGAAAGTGCCTTCCCGGTGGCGGAAGTGACGGGCCAAAGCCGAGCGGCATCGACCCACGCTTTTGTGGGAATAGGCGCCTCCTTCCCGATAAGAAGCACGTGCGTCGGCGCATTCGGATGGACAGGGCGCAGTTCTTCCGCCCCGAGATGGGCATGTTTGTCGCAGGGGGCGAGCGAGGAGCAGATGCGGCAGCGCGAACAGGTGCTCGTCCTGGGCTCCTCGCGCAGCAACCGTCGGGCGACGACCCGGGGGCCAAAAACCCGGCGACGACGGCGCTCTGGATGGGGCGTGACCTCCTGCCTCCAACCTCCTTCCTTTTTGAGCAGGTGTGACGCCGCGCGAGCGACGCTCCGAGATCGCCCGAGACAGCGCGGCGCGGCCCCGAGATCGCCCGAGATAGCGCGAGATCGCCCGAGATCGCGCGGCGCGGCCCGGGGCGAGGTGGATGGGTTGGGAGCGAGGGGGCACAAGTGCTCAGTGCGGTAGATCGGTCAGCTCGAGGCGCGTGAGCCGGACTTGGGAGCCGGACCACCCCCTCTTGTTATCTGCGTTGTTGAGCCAGGACTCAACATACTCGCTCGGGCTGTTGCCGTCCCAAACTGTCACTCCCCTTTCTCCCGGCCGGGGTGGGGCGCGCGCGGGGGCGGCGGGTGTGCGGCGAGTGTGCGGGATGTCTGTGGGCCCGAGAGCGATATGCCATGTCCGCCTTGCGTTGTTTCGTAACATCGAAGGCTAAGCTCAAAAGAATTCTAGGGGTAGGGGAGGGGGACCAGCGGCGGGTACTCGAGTAGTCGGCGACCACGACCAGACTGGGAGAAGGACAGACACAGCTATACACACCAACGAGGCAGTCGCTCTGCATGCCACAAGCCCACGGCCCGATCCCGTACAACCGTTACAACATGCCGACCGCATGCGACAACGTCGGAGGCGCCTGGGACGGTGGCGACGCGCCGTTCTTCCTCAAGATCCGTGGCCTCACACCGACCGAATGCTCTGCCGACTGGCTACGGAACGAGGCCGAGTGGTGCGTGGACGAGCGTGCGAACGAGCTGAGGCTCGTTGCCAACACCGCACCTACTCATGCCATTCGCATGCAGCCCGGCAGGCCGCAGCCGTGCGCTGTGCCTTACTCGCTCACGCTACCGCTGGTGCCGACTTGGTCGGAGACCGTCACCGAGGTGAGCCATCACATGCATGAGTGAGCAGTGTTGGAGAGACCTGCTTCAGCGTCACGAGAGCCCGAGGGAGCCGAGCTGGAGAGAGAAAAGCCCGCACATCCGCCATGTACGGCTGTGGTAGGTCCCCAGCATGGGCCCCCTCGGCGTGACCCTCTCCGGTGTCCTGATCGAGAGCACGCTGTGGGCGGTGCACAACGGCTTCATATTCTCGGACGAGCTGCAGTACGGCCACGCCTTGGGACCGCGCCCCCACTACCTGCACTACCACGCCGCCCCGCCGCCGCGGCGCGGCGGGAGGCCGGCGGATGAGGATACCCTGGTCGGGGTCGCGTTGGACGGCGAGGGAGATATGGGGAGATATACGGGGAGATATGGGGAGATATGGTCGGGGTCGTGTTGGACGGCTCGTGTGTGGAGATGGCACCAGCGCTCCGCCTACTCTTGCGCCACTCGCGCGCTCCTGGCCCACACACGCCGCACCTCCGCCGCCTCAGATCTCGAGTGATGAGATCAGATCTCGAGTGATGAGATCAGATCTCGCGTGATGAGATCAGATCTCGAGTGATGAGATCAGATCTCGAGTGATGAGATCAGATCTCGCGTGATGAGAGATCAGATCTCGAGTGATGAGATCAGATCTCGCGTGATGAGATCAGATCTCGAGTGATGAGATCAGATCTCGCGTGATGAGAGATCAGATCTCGCGTGATGAGACCTCCCCACGCACCCAGGGGCTGCTCCCACCCATGGCCCTCCATTGACCCACGCACGAACCTCTTTGATGGAGAACCTCTTTGATGGAGAACCTCTCTGATGGAGAAACTCTTTGATGGAGACATAGGCTACCCCATCTATGGCCCGCTCCCCAACACGGAGCTCGCCACCCTCGACGCGTGCAACGGCCGGAGGAGCGCGGCCGGCGAGTACCAGCACGCCACGCCCGCCTGTCTTTCTTACAAGCATGTTTTCTTTCTGATGACAGGAGCACGGCCGGAGGGTATCAGCATGCCGCCCGTATTTCTTTTTGAGGATGTTTTCTTTTTATAGGAGTGCGGCCGGCGGGTATCAGCACGCCGCCCGTATTTCTTTTTCAGCATATTTTCTTTTTCTAGGAGCGCGGCCGGGGGGTACCAGTACCACGCGCGGACGATGGCGCAGGTGTCGGAAGCGATGTACAGCCGCCCCTCTCTGACCCCCCGCCACCGGCACATTGGCCCGCCCCCCGCCCACATCCGCAAGCCCGCGCCCCCGTCCGCATACCCCCGCCCCCGCCCGCAAGCCCGCGCCAACGCCCAGGCCGGGGCTTCACTCCTCTCGCCCAGCCGCGGCGCCGCATGCAGGTGAACCTGTCGGAGCCGTACTGCGGCCGGCTGGGCGGGCGCGCAAACAACTGGAACCTCGTCCTCGGCTGCTTCCACGGCGTGGTGTGCGATCTCCCCATATCTCCCCATATCTCCCCATATCTCCCCATATCTCCCCATATCTCCCCATATCTCCCCACATCTCCCCATGTGTGGCCATGTCTCCCCACATCTCCCCATATCTCCCCATATCTCCCCACATATCCCCACATCTCCCCACATATCCCCACATCTCCCCACATATCCCCA